AATCTTTCCAACTACATTCACCTTTGGCATGCCTAATACTCAGCAGTGAATTAAATCACCTAGTTTGTGATCAAATACACAACTGAAAATATAATTTTCCATTGAACTTACTTGATTCTTTTTTTTTTTTTAATTTACATCCAGGTTAGTTAGCATATAGTGCAATAATGATTCCAAGAAGGAAGAACTTATTTGACTGTTTTAATGATGTATTGAATTAGTTACTCTCTGAACCTATCCAATACTCAGAATAGAAGCATAAAGTTAATTACTTTGTGAGCTCTACAGTTAGCGGCCTGGAAAGAGTCAAAGGACACTTACATGTTTATATGGGCAAATGCAAAAACACCAGACATTACAGCACACTTTTTTCAGGGGTCTGAAGTTTGGATTAGTATTGTCATATAGTTGGCCATGACTTTTAATTAAAATGGAAAGGAGATGAGGACCCTAAATAATTTGGTTGTTTTGTATAAGTACAGCCTTCATCACATTGTCCAACAATATTACAAAGACAGAGCCTATAAATCATTGTAAAAACAGAAAAACCAAGATAACACTTTCATCATAAAATAAAGACTAACAATACCTTAACACCACCATTTCTAAATAGAATGTCTTCCTGAATGTGTCAGGCAATATTTCCATTTTTTTTTTGAAAAAAATTTATCTATAATATCCCTGGAATTTTTTTTGCATTTCTTAATTTAATAGATAATGTTTTTAGAAAATGTTTTATTATAGAGTGGTGAGATTATTGAGGGCAAAAGACTATATCTTCTCCATGTATTCTGATAACTGACATAGTTGAGTGACTGCATAACCAATACTCACTGATTAAATATTCTAAAAATTCTAATAATTGACAATAATTTTTTATGAACAAGCTATATTTGGCCAATAATACTTTAAACTTCAGCAATACTTACAAAAGAAATATTAATACTTTTTTCTTTAATCTTAATATGTGACTCAAATAGTCCATTCCTTTTTATAATTTTTTATCTTAAGCGTTACACTCAAATCTGGCAAACAGTTATTTAGATCGCTTCTTTCCTATTTTATCTGTGGTTTGAGGAAGAGGAAAAAATAATCCATAAAAAGTAAATTAAATATGTACAATTCTGAATCCAATTCTATATATTGAAATTTAAATTTTAATAGTTTCAAGGAGTATATTTTAATAAATCTGTGGAAATAAATGAATTTAAAATTACTAATGAGTATTTTCAAAATCTAACAAATGATTGATTCCCTATCATAGCCCATGGATGATTCAGGATGATCTGCACATAATGATAAAGGCTGGAGAACATACATAAAATGATCTGGACCCAAAGACCAAAAAGCCAACATCTTAAATGTGGTTCCATGGCAGTTATTCTTTCTATGCTCTTTAAAGGTAAAAGAAAAACAAAATGCCCTATCACCTAACCAAAGATAAACAAGTGACCGAGGAAGAGCGAGGAGAAACATAACTGCTTTCAGCTCCTTAATATTGGGAACAAATTATTTAAAATATTTTGATTCTGGTATGTTGACCTTATCTTATTTTTTTTTCACTTCTAAAAAATCCAGAAGTTCAATCAAAGAATTTCGGCCTGGCACCTGTCCACTTACCTACGATATAATGTTTTCAGAAGAAAGCACATACAACCTTCATTTCTCTTAAACTTAGATATTAAATTGGGAAATATACAATGCAAAACATTTTCACAAATACATCTACGCATCCTTGATTTTTGCTATTTGTAAATTTCACCCAATGGCATCAACAGAATAATTTCTCCTTTTATTTCCTGATCTCATTTTTTTTCAGAACAGGTTTCCATGACCACTTATATTTGATTTCTTATAAATTTCTATTTGGAATACTATTCTTACAAATTCATTTAAGTATAAAATATAAACTTTTTTACCAAGTTAAGCTGAACAATTTTGACCTTTTGAATATGTATTTACATCATAAATTTAAAGCAATAGAGGAGGGAGAAATGCCAACCAAAACAAAAAGCAAGAATACAATGTTACAAAATTCAGCTAATTATCTATCCAGTTCCTATCACCGTGGTTTCATTCTGGCACTTTAGTTCATAAAAGTTAGAAATAAAACATATCTGTTATATAATTGAGCCAATCTCCTCAATATTGGGAAAAGATAAAGACATTGATGACAGGTATAAAAAATTGAAATAGGAATTCAGCCACTTAAAATTATTCATCTCAAGTATATCAATAAAAGATGAACTAATGTAAAAAAAGTAAAGAGAGTTTATAAAAGTTAAATACTTAACTTCTACTAAGAATGAGACTTGTGGAAGTAAGACCACAGCTGAAGCAAACCACTTGATAATTGACTTATGTCTCCTAGAATCATGTCCATGCAAAATATTAATTTCATCCTGTTGACCTCCCAATGTAATATTATTTATCAAACTAGTCAGATAACATTAAGTCAGGCCATCATCTGAACTAAAATGTTCATATAAAAATATTAAATCACATTTCAGTAAAATGGTGACTTCTGATTACTCTTTTTAGGCAACCCCCAATAACTTGAAAAGGGATTTCCCTGAAGACAAGCCCCACAAATGTTAGCCAATCTGAAAGATAGCAAAACATCACATATCAAATGGTCAATAAAAATGCGAAGTTCAAACAGGTTCAAGAAGTTAATTCAAATCCCGTATTTTGACTCTAATGGTGGGTGGTGCAGGGTAAAACCTCTACCAAAGACCTCTACCGAAGGTCATAGATGACCTTTCAAAGTTAGAATTCTAGTAAGCGTCTTATCCTGCATTAAATCTCAAGAGCAACATGATCTGCAGATTTCATAAACCAGTCAGTTATAATCAGTGGTTATGGTAAAAAGGGCCTGGGGAAGACGTCATGAGACCTCCAGCATAATTTTGGATCTGCTATTAACTTGCTGTATGACCTTGGCCATCACTTAGCATCTGCAGTCTTCATTTTCCTCATCTATAAAATAAAGGGTCTTCATGAAGTGACCTCAAGGAAACTTTCCAGATCTGTGATTCTCACCTGATTCTACTTCTAATGGCTCTTTGACCTTGTGTTAATCTCTAATACATCTGTGTTCTTTCCTCACCTAAAATGGCTACATGTCAAACCCTACTACTGTTACAATGAAATCTTAGGAACATTTTTTTAAAACTATTTTCAAGTTAATAGTCTACCCTTTAATCAATAATCAATAAAGTCAATTTCCATAGCAATAATAAAAATGAAACACCATCTTAAAGTTTTTGCTATGTAATCTAGGCCACAATGAAATCTATTATATTATCATGAGGCAAGATAATAAAACATTCTGTCTTTTTTTATAGCATGCAATCTGGAAAAAAAAAATCACACAATGAGCCTGAAAACAAATTCAGATTATCTTTTTAGCCACCAAGTGGAAAGAGTATTGTGGCACTCAGCTGGAATAAAAAACAAAAAAACAAAAAAACAAAAAAAAAAAACCCAACCACAGATGTAATGGTCATGAGTCTTTGATTTAATTTAAGTAAATATGCACTTGTTTTTGTTTTTGTTTTGAAATCCAACTCTTGTTGAATTTATAGAATGGTCTTAACAGGAAGAGTTCAGAGTTGAAGTTATTAATTCCATATTCAAACACTAAAATTTATGTATGCATTTAAATGCCAGATCCAACAGAGGAGCAATGCTTAAAATTGTCTCATTCATATTCTATTTCAAACTGAAAACAAAACATATCCTCAGACTTCTACAGTGGTATCAGAAGCACATCTTCTGACAAGTTATCAGATAGACAGCTGCACAATATCTCAGATGCAGAGACTTCTGACATACAGAAAAAGACAATAATGAGGATGGAGCCATAGTGAAGCTGCCTTGGGGGTATTTTTTCCCAGTGTCAGAAGCAAACCAGACACACGCAGTTGCAAAGATTTAACTAAATACAGTACTCTGTGCTCATGTATAATTAAAAAACATTCACATACTGTATAATTTTTTGGTTATTTATATTTCTTTTATTCCCTTTAAACTGGAGAAACCAGTATTGGTTACTTTTATAGTCCCTTCATGGGATTCTGAAAAATTAATTGGGAGTCTCAAGGACTAAATTTAAACTGTCATTCAAGCTAGAAACTGAAAAGAAAAAAAATTGAGGATGGACTCACAATCTGAAGAGTAAAATAAAGTTTGCCACAATCTAAATTACCCAGATTTAGACAATCGGACTAACCTAGCATCACCAAGTGACCAAATCAGAGTCAACCTGTAAGAAACCAGATACAGCCCAAGGGGAAAACGACCAGCTCCCAATTTCAACGTGCAGGTGGGGTCCCTGCTCAACTCACTGGGACAAACAATTCAGCTTTCTTCCCCCTTGGAAGGAGACAGGCCCAAATAGCACTCAGGAGAGTCTCTTCACAAAGCGACCCCGCTGGCCCACCCTCTCCCCACCCAGCCACACAGGTATATTCCATTTTCCCTTCTCTGTCTTCAGATTAGATCCCTAATTGGAGCCACTGCTCTGAGTGGGTCAGATGTGGAGTGTCAGGCCTTCCTTACTGAAAATGTCAAATCGTGATGACCAGAAGGCCTAAAGAAACATCCAAACTAACGAAAAAGTTGGAACAAAAGAGTCAGGAAAAACAAAACAAAACAAAACAAAAAAAAAAAAACCCTCAAGGTGAAGCGCGACACCAGTTTCAGGACAAGGTTCCGGACAGACTTGCACCGAGAGGTCGACCTTTGCCCTTCAGTTCCCATCTGCTAGAGTAAATCTGTTTGAGTTGAGGACAGGTGGAGGATAGAGGGGGCGGGGAGGATGGCGGCCAGGGTCCCGGAGTTTACCTTGCACCAGACGGGCTGCTAATCTCATCCTTAGGGAGCCCAGGTTCCCTTCTCCCTCCCACCCCCTCCCGCACCCCAGAGGCCCTTGGTGGAAGAGAACCGAGAGTTGGGAAGGAGCTGGAGCAGAGGGAAGGGGGCGGTTCTGGCCTTACCCTGGCGGCTCTGGACGAGTAGGGGTCCTCGAAAAGGGCCCACATGCGGGGCTGCAGCCTCCTCCAGCGGCCAGACTTGCCGTCGGGGCCCCCCAGGCCCGCGGCGTCCTCGATGCCCAGCCTCTTGGCCGCCAGGTCTTCGTCGTCGCCGGGGTCGCCGCCGATGAGGTCGGGGGTCTCGAAGATGTCGAGCGCCTCCTCGGCGTCGCGGTGCTGCCGGTAGGTCATCCAGCAGCAGGGCTCCACGTCCGTCTCGTCGATGCCCCAGAAGGCCAGCTCCTCCTCGAAGAGCGGCCCGCACACGTCGGCGGGGCAGTGCAGCTTGCCCGTGCGGTAGTAGTTGAGCACGTAGGCAAAGACGCCCGGGTGCCGGTCGAAGAAGAACTCGCGGCCGCCGCCGCGGGGGCTGCAGTTGCCCGCGCCGCCCTCAAAGCAGCCGCCCGGCCCGGGAGACAGTGGGGGCGGTCGCGGCGGCGGCGACAGCGAAGGGGGCGACGGCTGCAGCTTGTCGCCCGCCGCCGTCAGGCAGTCGCCCGGGGGCTCGGAGGCGGCGAGCAGGGCCAGGCGCGTCCCAGGCAGGGTCTTGAGGGTGCTGCGGTAGGTCTCGTGTCGGGTGCCCCCGACATTGAGGATCACCCTCTCGTTGTTCTCGATCTTGCCCATCTCTGTGGCTCAGACATGACTGGGGGGGGGAGGCGAACACAGCGCCAAGTTAAAGATCTCGGCCGTCAGAGCCGCGCCGTGACCCCCACCCCCACTCCCAGCGCGAGTCCCAGGAGGCAGGGCTGGAGACGGGCGAGGGGCAAAGGACCCTCCCAGGAGGAAACGCGCGCCCAGCTATGTCCCCGCCTCTAGCAGCACACGTTCCCCGGGCTTCCAGAAAACTGAGGTGGTCTAAGCTCCCTGACCTTCCAGGACACCTTCTTCCTGGCCTCCCACCTTTCTCCCCTTGCTCTGATCTCTCCTACTTCGTCTTTTCACCCTTCACTTCCCTCCCCTCTCACAAATAACCGGCTCCTAGGTCCTAACCCCCACCCCTCCTCTCTCTCCAGACCCCTCCTCCCTTGCCCCCTTTCTCTCCTCCTGCCCTGGCCCCTCTCTTCCGCTTTCCTAGACCCTCTCTGCGCCCCCCCGGCCTGGAGGCAGTTCTCTTAGGCAACGAGTTTCCTCCACGGAGACAACTTGGTGGTGCTGGGTGAGAGCCCCCGGACGGGGCGGCGAGCCCCCCAGTGCGCGCGTACCCTCGGGACTCTGGACGGCTCGCAGCGCCCCGGCACTCAGGGCACCCTTTGCGTGCCCTGTTCCCGGTTCACCTCCACTCTCCCTCACGGACCAGGCACAAAGACTGAACGCTGAAGTCAAAGCACAAAAATCTCCCTGCTGTTGCCTTTCACCAAGGAGACCTGTGACTAATTTCCTGATCCAATTTCCTTTTCACATTGTTGTTGTTGTTGTTGTTGTTGTTGTTGTTGTTAATATTATTATTACTTGGGAAAGGAAACCACTAACTAGGATACATTTTTTGAGAATACGAGTGATCAACGCATCCCACCCCATCCCCCCTCCCCAAGAAAAACAAACGCTTGGGGGATGGAGGGTGGGGGCTTGCTTTCTAGGAGGGGCGAGGCCCTGGGAAAAGCCGCTGGAGGCACACCCCCTGGATCCCTGAGCTGACAGCGTCCCGGTTTCCAGTCTCCCAGCCACCTCTCCCCAGGGCTTCACCTCCACATTCCTATTGCGGAATGTGGGGGGATGCCTGCCTGCAGGGTCAGCATGCCCTTCCCGGCAGATCACCCCCTTCCCCTCCCGCCCCCAGATACCTTAACGAGACCGACAGAAAAGTGGTTCTGCTTTGGTTTCCGAGTGGACGAGCTTCTCCGGGCAGCCGGACTGAGTCCTGACACCCAGCCGAGCAGCCCTGCTCCAACGAGAAACTACTTGTTGGCGTTTTCCGGGTTCAGGTGGTTGGGCCGCTCCTCCGGGCGCTGGGGTCGCGGAGCCAGCCCCCGCCGGCCGCCGGCCGCGCTCCCCGCCTTCATTCTGCGAGCTGCGGGCTCGCCCCGCGCCAGCCTCGGCGCCCAGAGTCACCATCGCGCAGGGCTGGGCAAACCATGGAGCTCGGGGCGGGTCCAGCCGGCGCTCCGCGACCCCGCCGGGAGCTGGCACCGCGGCTGGCCGTGGCCGCGGCGGAGCTGACCGCAGGTCGAGAGAGCTCGCCCACTTGCTGGGGAAGTCCCCCGGCTCCGACCTGGACCTGCAGGTTTTGCTTCTCCCCCGCAAGCAGCTGCCGCTAGAGCGGTCCCTTCCGCACCACTCGCCGTCAACCACCAGCGCCAGAGCACAGAGCTCGGGAAAGGGTGGGTGGGTGGGTGGGTGGGTCTGGGGAAGCTCTCTTGTACCAACCAGGTTCATATATTTTTCTTCCGTGAAGCTCTATCCCCACCCTCTCTGGAGCTTCTGCCTGCCTTATTTACACCCCACGCTCCACACCCTTTCTCTTCCCACTGCCCCACCCCTCCCAACAAGTGACAGAGCATCTCTAAGACCAATTCCATTTTTTTTTTTTTTCCTTAATGACAGCTGAGAGGAGAGAGAGGTCTACTTACAGGTGACAAGTGAGTCTTGTTTCTCGAGTCTTACACATGGCTCTGGCTTGCTCTTTCCAGTCAAATGTAGGTCTCCAGTCACCACATCATGGTTACATAAAACAAAACAAGTTTAAAAAGTTTATTCCAGGAACATAATGCTCTAGCAAGTGAATATTCAGAGTTCTCTATCAGAAGCTACAGAGGCGAGCTACAGATATCCAAGTACCAAAGGAATTATCTAATTGCTCAATTCCTCTCTCAAATTTTATTGGGCCTTGTATAGTTTGCTAGGGCTGCCATAACAAAGTACCACAAACTGGACTGTTGAAACAGTAGAAATATTACCTCCAAGCGCTGGAGGTAGAAGGTAGAAATTAAGGTGTGGCCTAGGTTGGTTCTTTCTGAGGGCTCTGAGGATTGGACTTATTCCAGGCCTCTCTCTTTGGTTTGCAGATGGCCATCTTATCCCTGTGTCTCTTCACATCATTCTCCCTTTTATGCAAGTCTGAGTCTGTCCAAATATCCCTTGTATATAATAACACTTGTCATAATGCAATAGGGCCCACCTTAATGGCTTCATCATTAAAGACCTATCTCCAAAATAAGATCACATTCTCAAGTACTGGAAACTAGGACTCCAACATCTATCTTTCTTTCTTTCCCTTTTTCTTTCTCTCCTTCCTTCCTTCTTTCTTTTTCTTTCTTTCTTTCTTTCTTTCTTTCTTTCTTTCTTTCTTTCTTT